CCATTTAAAAACTGCATTTTGTAGCTACTCGGATTATCTTTGTCTAAAATGTGTTTTATGATATGAAACATGTAAGTGTGACAAATATGCAAAAACTTGGAAATCAGGAAGTGGGCAAATACTTTTCCACAACGCTGTACATATCGATCACTATGTAAACCAGCTGGTTCAGCATCATGTCGGGGTTTGCAACATCGATATCTTACGAGAAAATGAGGCAGTCCTGTAACTATGGGCAGTCCAGATACTGTCATAATCCGAGTCCTCTGATTGGTCAGAACACGGAGGGTTGCCAGGCAAGCCAGCCACTGTGAGGCTGTTGTCAGCGAGTACGTGGTTGTGCATGAGGTCAGTTCCTTGCCAGGCTTTACAGAACCAGCAATGGACGGCATTTGACAAACCAAATTAAATGTTTGGGGATGAAGGAAGGAATATAAACCAAAGTGAAAGTGTAACCGATAATTTATAAAACCAGAAAACCAGGTTGTATGGGATAAAAAATATAAACATAGTGATGACAAAATTAACAAAATAAATGGATGATGTTAATAAAACCCAATAGCACAATGTGTATGTTAACAGTTAATACAATAATTGGAGCATGAGGAAAACAGAGGAAGTGAGGTAAGACATAAAAGGAGAAGAGAGAAAAAACTGTTAGAGCCAAAAGCAGAAAACAAACAATGGTTTCCAATAAGACACATCAACTATGTATTTCTATGCATGATGCGTTTACAAATGTTGCGCTGATGGATGTGTGCGTACTCACTGGAGTTAAGAGTCTGTCGTGTCTTGGCACTGGTACAATAAGCTTCAATGACTTTGAGTATCTGAGCATCCTCCTCTAGAGCTGCTGTACCTGAGAGACAAGGGCAGACCAGGGAACTGAGCTGATGAGACTGCACCTACACGCCCTCTGGTGGACATTTCTTCACTGTATAGCTTTCTAAAAGATTCAATAAAGGCTGACTCCAACATCAACCACATATCAAAGTTAAAGTGATCACCAAAGAAAATCTACACAGTTTGGATTTCAGCAGAGGTGAGGACTATGCATTGTTTTTATTAAAAACTGGGTTTCTGCTAATGAAATGAATATGCTGGTTTACTGTCTTAGAGAGAACTCCTTCCATTCATAAAATCTGATAGAAATGTACTTAATGGGCTGTCACAATGGACGAGTTACTTTCTTGAGTCTAAGACGCTTCAAAAACTAGTCCAGTTTTATTCAGTGTTACACTGCTGTCCAGCTGAAAGTTTAGCAAAATGCACCTTTTTCACGAGTTGTGACTCTGACAGATTAAAGTTTATAGTACTTAAACATTATCTAATAGAAGCAACTGAAGAAATTAAGATTCACTACTAATAATATTATTAGTTATGTTGCTATGAAGTAATAGAAGTCCCCATGGCAACATTTTATAATTGAAAGTTCAAGTTTCTGTTCTTACTTTTTCTGACAGTGAAGTCCTCTTCTGAGGGTTTCCTCTCTGGCTTCCTCTTCGGGAGGAGCTTCTTCACATTCTTAGGACTCTTACTCATGTCCTTCAAAAAAAGATAAAAAATAAAATTCAGATTTCACTTTTTCAGTCAAGTCTTGGATTATATCACGCAATACAACAGAAGTGAATGAATTTAGAAAAATGTTTGCAAAAAAAGGACATACACACCAAAAGCAATATCTATTCTGTAATAAACTATAAAATCGAGCACCTCCTTGTAGCAGAGAGCAGCAGAGGGCCGGAGTGGAGGAGCAGGGCGAAGGCAGCTTAAGCTCCAGGGTTTGGGGGTACTCGGTGGCTCCAGGGGTCCCCACATAGGGCTGCTGATTCCCATCCCATGCAAGGAGACATG